TAGTCGCGTCCGGCTTGAACTCGCCCAATCCATCATGGGTCGGTAGTACAGTATCACCGCTCTCCTGCAGCCTGCTTTGTAGTCTGCTCAACGGCGCACCATATTCAGATGGCTCATGGAAGGCGTGTAGCCCGTCGTCTAAGCTGTCTAGCTCCTCTTCTGTCCCAAGAAACGAGCCACCTTCTTCATCTTGTTCAGACTGCGCAGCAGTCTCGAGTGAGCCAAACTCGCTGGAGCGTGACAGGCCAGCTGTCCGTGGCGTTCGGTCGGTCGAGGTGGTATGTGTGCGAGTGGTAGCAGAAGGCGCACCTGGGGAGAAGAGGACCCATTCTTCTGACTGATCCAATGTTCGTACAGGCTGTAACAATGCCGTCGCGGGTTCGGTGGTGGGTTCTGGTGCATTGTAGGAGACCTGTCGGCCGGCCTGCGGTCGATGTTGCTGTATGGCCGCCATGGCGTAGTAGTCTAAGTTGGGCAGCGACGTAGGTTGTGGTAGTGGCGATAGAGGAGTCAAGTCCTCTTAGGCAAGGCGCGAGGACGTGGCACAGTTGATATATTGATAGGGTATGTTGCGAGGTAATAGGGTGGTATAAACGCGTCGCGGTAGGAGCAGTGTGTTCCTTATCGTCTTGTTGGCTTCATGCCTCGTTGCGACGTTGACCACTACCCTAGCGGTGTGAGGGGGATGGCCTACGGGCAGGTGTACCTATGATGTCCACACAGACGTCGCTAGGGACACGCTAAACGAAACAAGCCGTCTACTGCAGGCGGCGGATGATCAGTCGCAAGACCGGTAGCACAGGACGTGATTAGCCTTATCTAAAGGGGTTTGAAACACGCAGGAAACAGGAGATATGGGAGAGGCAGCAGAAATATATTGCAGCGAAGATGTGTCAGAGGCTGAATCTAGGCTGGGGCGCTGAGGTTTACATACACAATAGGGAGATGCAGGTGAAGGGACCATCCCCCATGCACGCCAGCTCGCAGCTTCCCTGATAAGATAGACTGCTTAGCCCCGCCGCATCAACCTCCCCCACCAATCGCCTACTACAGACGCTCTGAGTGATGATGAGATGAGCCAACGATGACTTATCTTGCGCCATAACACGTATGCCCTGACTCTGCGAAACCGAAGAAGGGCCTGAAACATTTTCTAGCGACGGCAACTTACCAGCTAGAAAATGATGCGCGTCTGGGAAGTTCGTCAGTGGTCACGCCATTACGCATAGTATGCGCTCATAGAGTCGCACCCCTTCACCCCTACCTCTACAAGCCCGTCAGACTGCATGCAGCAAGGCGCAACCGCATGCTATTCTCATCACCAACAGACCCTGTGCGGCTCCGTATGCAGATGCAGCCGCCGAGCTGACTGTGGCCATGAATCCCGAAGAACCTTGTGAAGCATCGTCATGTACAAAACGTAGTCCGAAAATCCGAAAATGTTGCGTCACAAACAGCTATACCCCGAATCTTGCCCTCTCCGATCATCGCCCCGATTCGGCGAGTTGCTGCCCGCTTGACTTACCCAATCGAGGAGTCCAGGTGAATGTATACCAAGCACGGCAAGGAACAACTCTTTGCAGAGTTTGATATGGAGTTGAGTTGCCCCTTGAGTCACGACGGCTACGTCAGACTCAATTTGTTTTGTGAACAGCGCCACTGATGTGCGCAAAAGATCTGTAGAATGAATAAACATATGCGCATGCTGTGCTACTTAGGTATCTCCAAACGACGCTAACCAAGTATGGTACAGATACAAGAAAACGCCGTGCAGCTATACAGTGAGTGTCAACAAAACGTCGCTATCGATAATGTCATGTTCTCGTCAATCGCATCTTCAAGACGCCGAATCATACTCGGCACCGAAGATGCGCTTCGCGTCTTCCTCGTTCATCTCCTCACCTTCGCCGACATCAGTCCACCTCTTCGTGATGCGTGATTTCTCTCCGGGTCGTCCCTTGAGCACGCACTCGCCGTTGCCTTGACAAATTTCTTGTCGCCCTAGGTTCTTGAAGCGGGGGCCTAGCGGTCCGTTAACGTAATGGTACTGGCCCAAAAAGCGGTATTGTCGAGGGTCGCTAAGTGGGTAAAACTTGTCGCCCCAGTGACCAGCAAAATAGAACCACGAGGTAGGTGCGCGCGGGTTAAGGTTGGATGCAACCAGTCGGTCAGATCGATAGTCGTACTTGTACGAGTACATGTTCATGACGGGATCCCAGAGAGGACCACGGTCAGTCACATCGTGCAGAATGCCACCGGGTAGGACGTATGGATGTACACCTGCTGTCGCGTACATGGCGTGGGTACCGGTGGCAGAGAAGCCGATGGGCTAGGCATGTTAGTTTCGCATTATAGCGCTAGGACAATAGACTCACCCTCTGTCCACTCTTCTCTACAGCGTCCCATGTGTACGCTTCACCAAAGCTATGCTCACTGAAGAACACTGCCTTAGGCTCGCCATGCTGAAATCTGACCACTGTGTGTTCCCAGTCACCGACGTGGTTGCCGAAGCGGATGTTGAACACAGCATTTCCAAGGTTGTAGCTGTAGAAGAAGAACCAGAAAGCGTCAACCACACCATCACCCTTGTCTACTACAACCAACGGGACGGGCGCATCACTTCTACCACCAACAACCTTCTTGCCAGTGAAGCTGCGGCGACTGTAACGCAGCTCTGATCTCCAATGCTTGTCATCGTTGTCATCAACAAGCTCATCGCCTTCATTTGTGTTCGAAGGGACTGGAAGTCCTGGGGCTGTGGGGTCTGGCCGGATACCGCCTCGGTCCCTAGTATCGCCATCACCTACATGCCACCAGCTAGACTTTTTGCCATCCTTGTCCTCTATAAGGTGTCCAGGAGGCCCGCTATGGTAATCGCCATCATTGTCTTCGTCGTCGTCGTCATTTCCATCACTTGGCGCATTGGGTATGTTGTAGTCCGCACCCAACCACGACGGACGGTCCTCGACATTGTCATCGCTCTGGAGATATACAAATCGTCCCCACTTGTTAAGGTCTCCAAGATTGCTGATGTTCGGGTGATCACTAGATGCTTGCAGAGGCGTGTAATTCAGATGTGGTGTGGTGTGTATCAAGTGTTCTGCCATGTCTCCTGGCCAGTACTCCTCTCCTGAGAAGAGATGAATGAGCGGCGCGTGGTCCAAAACATATTGCGGTACCTCGAGTGCCTCGTCCGGCGTGTAATCAGCGGGGATGTTCCGCGCATCGTTCCAAAAGTCATTCAAGTTCAACTTGACTTCATCCCTGTCCTCCGTTGTCTTCTGGCTGTGGGCCTTGAATGTCTGCGTAGTCCATTGTGCCTTGTTCAGGTGCGACAGGCCACACATACCGAACCAACCACAAGCCTTCCGGTCTACCCAGGACCGTGACGATGCGACCCATTCCGCCTCATCTGCGCGTTCGCTCGAGGGGGTCAAGTTTTCAAAAAGAACGTTTTGGTATAGTTGCGAGAACGAGAACAACCCAAAGAAGGTGCCCGCAGCGGCGATGGCGGGTTTCCTGCCCTTCATTTGAACGTCGTCCTCGTTCAACGAGTTGTCGAGGCCAGCGAGAGACGTGGAAGCTTCCGCAGCTGGCTCTGATGGGGAAGAATGCGCTATAGGAATGTCGATGGTGGGTAGGGTCTGGGTTTCGGAAGCGTCCTGCGCAGCGTTTGGTGATTCGGTCGGAGGATATATTGCTATCGGAGCGTACTCAGGTACATCTATTGAAGATATGGATGACGAAGGAAGCGATGACGGAAGGACCGCCTGAAGTGGGACCTGCCCTCCGCCATGTTGAAGGTATGGGACAATGGGCACTGACTGGTTAGCTTTTCATCCAAGGCTCAAACAGGCAAGGCAGGGAACGTTTGAAGCGGAGTAGGAACGACCTGAAGCCGATACTGCCGGATGGCTGACAAAAAGATGTCAGGTGTGGCAGGTGTGGCTTCGAGATCCTGCAATCGACCATGCGACGCGATGCCGGTGATGGCAAGTGTAGGTAACAACCGGCATGATCGGCAGCATGGAGGCCATCGCAAGGTCCACAAACATGTGAATTGAGCTAATGGCATATGCAAAAGTGGGGAGGGCGCGGAGGTGACGGAAAGGTCATGATGACTTGAAGTGCTATAATCTGGCCGGACATGCGCGGAAGCACACTTACTGATGCGGATAGAAGGCCGTAGCCAGCCGATTTGATACCAAAACCAGACTTGGAGGATGTGAAGCGTTCGATGTGAGCTTACGCACAATGTAACAATGGAAGAAGATGCGCGATGGAAGCTGGAATTGAGGTGGCGCGTATCTTTGGTGTTTGATGCATGTCTGATAGCTGCCGGCTGGGCGCACGTCGTCACCACTAGTTAGAGATGCAGCGGGGACCTCGGCAGCCATGCGGCTCGCAACTTGGCTTCCAGGCACGGGCTGCTGCACACCCATTATCCACACTATGGGGAGGGGTTGACTGGTCTTAGCTGTGGCTTGTTGCATGCTTCTGCCACTCTATGACGGATCTGGATTGTGGAAGTCCCCAGACAAGGGCCAGATTGGAAGCATGGGAACGAGGTCTGAGTAGCAACGCCCTTGTTGGTTGATCGCGCTATACAAAAAACAAGCATGGTAGGCTGAGCGCAATAATATCCATCCTACCATCATCTTATGGCAAAAGAGAACTCGCAACGGCCAAAAAAGATAGAACTGTCTCCCCACCATGAGTCGAACAAGGGACCTTCTGATAACAGCAGATATTACAGTCAGACGCTCTAAACCAACTGAGCTACGGGGAGAATGTTTCGTAACGAAACCGTGCTTGGTTTGGATGGAAAAATGACCAAATATGATATTTATAATCTCATTTAAATTAACGAGCTGCTACATGCTGAGGCTAGGCGCTCAAGCAAATTCGTTGTCAATTCGTACGCTTCTGTCAAGTAGCCCCACCACTGCTGACCTTGCAATCCTTCAAGCTTGCGCCAACGCACGACAAAGCCGCTAACCATGGCCAAACCCGAAGAGGATGAATGGGAGTACGAGTACGACGACAATGAGACAGAAGATTTTTATATCCCGCTCGACTTGTCCAATGTCCCCTCTGCGCAAATTCCCATGGTCTCGCAGGGTAGACCGGGTCACCCAACTTTACTCAAGAGCAGATTGCGTGCGCTGAATGCAGCGCGAGGTCAACCAGCTGAATTCGCTGCCAACAACAATAACGATGTGCAAGAGACGGCTACCATGGGAGAAGTCCAAGTCGTCGGCCTTCACACATCGAATCCACTGATCATGTATAACGGCCAGTTACTAAGTTGCCATTGGACGTCGACCATCGGAACCGACATGTTTTTCGTGAAGCCAGATGCGAACGCTTCGACTCAATCACAGGTCCTGCGGTCTCTGCCATCAGTCGACTTGTTGGCTCTGGGATCCGCAAAGCTGGTAGCAAAGGTTGGACGTCTGCGACCGCGCGATGATCTTGTCGACAACGCTGGCGATGCAGAACAGGCGACTGAGGTCACGCATACTCCAGGCGATGACCAGAACGCTGCGAGGAACATCCCGACCACTGCGAACACTCAGACTGCTACAAGTAACCAGGGCTCATCCGCGTCCTCGAGCTTTCTCGCCAGGCTGAATGAAGCCAAAGCAAAGAGAGGGGAGAAGTCGCGCTTGGTAATCGCGAAAACGTCAGAAGGCTCGCATCTGGTGGCGGAGAAGGCAGTGATAGGCTCTGCTGGTGCAGATTCTGGCACGTCGAAAACACATGATGACTCGCCCATGGGTGGCACATGAGGTGCATGGGAAAGCAGAGGCCAAAAGAAGTAGGACCACTGTATGCTCCTTCATACGAACGAGTAGTGGCGCAACCTTGAACATGGACAGGAGCATGAAAATTCGAGGCCCGATGACTGCAGATGTTTCGACACAAAATGCAGAGCATGGTAGGAGAGAGCGTTACGATGGAGTCTCTGTAACGAAGTTGCGCCACCACTGTATCAAAGAGAAAAAACAAACTTCCTCTTTAAGAGTACTCCTTCCTACTACACAAGAGCATACAGAGAGCTATATAGATATAGATTAAAAGCCTAGAAGACTACAATACTGTTAATCTTAATAAGTTTTCTTATTAGAAGATAATGTAGGCTGCAGGGTAAAGCTTGTTATGTCTTTACCTGTTCGGTTTTTCCCTCGTATACGGTGCCACCATGTATGGCATGAGCCTTCCACGCCATCACCAGTGCGCCTACCACATAGGAAGACGTTTGGGGGTATCTTTGTTCCAGATCGCACATGGCAATTCCTTCTGACGCGGGCTCTATGCACTCGATCGTCTCTTACATCAACCTATGATATTTTACTTGACTTCCCTTGTCTCTTACTTTCTGCACACAATCCACCTCTACCTATTTCCGATGCAGCGACCACCAGGCAAGCTCAGTATCCGCATAATTCCAGAACAGCCTGTGGACACTTCCGACACGCAGTCTCTCTCCTTACATTGGCTGTTTGGCAAAAACGGTGGATACGTGACCCGCCTCAAGGAGGATTACCGGCAAGATACCCCGAATGAATTATTCACATCTGCGAAAGCTGAGGCACGAATCATAAGAGAGATTGCGGATTGGCTGCAGTCGCAAGAATGCGATGAATTCTGGACGCCCAGAGCACGGCAGCCTCGTCGAGTGAGCTACTTGTGTAATCGACTTGTCTTTGTCCTGACATGCACAGGCGCTTCCTACTGCTACCCAGCTACTCCGACAGTTAGAAAACCACGAATTCCTGCCAGCTACCTCTTCAAGCAAGACGACTGCTTTTGAAACTCTCGTCCGCGTCATTGCTTTGCAATTACTAGCAGCTTCCTATACTCACCTACCCCCTTCGAGCGCAAATCACATTCCTTTATTCCAGCAGCGCAAAGAGACGAGATTCATTACAGCTCTACGATCTCATTCTCATTACCGCTTCTCTCCAGCCGCGGGTCATCAAGCCCGCCCACCTTCTGAAACGGATTCATGGCCCGACCTTTACGCTGGGCCATCGAACGAAGAGAAGTTAGCACAGCATGTCAGTCAGAAACGCAAATCACGCAAGCAAAGCAGCGATTGTGTTCCACAATTTGCGGCAAGCGGGTGGACAGACGGACCACCAGCCATTGTCGTACGCGAGGACTCACGAGGCTCCTTATCAAGAGAGAGCTCTAGCTCATCGTCGGAGCCTGGGTTCTTCTCACGACTCATATGTCAGGCAGCAGTGCCAAAGAACTATCGTCGTAAGCACAACACCATGTTTCTGAACCGAGCCCGAATTTCTTCGAAGAAAAAGAGGCAAAAGCAGTTGCGCTTTGAACGCACGCATGAAAATCGCTCTGAGCGTCAAGACATCAGTTCCCAGCCAGTTCAACGTATACCCTCAGTACATCGTCTCCGGCATACCCAGTCGGCTCCGCGAATCGAATTCGAGACGGAAGAGGCAACACCTGTCGAAAGTCCACAAGACGGAAAGCGTCACGGCTCAGACCCGTCCATAGGAACCCTACTCAACTACTCTTTTGAAATACCTGAAACACATCGTACATCTGTTACACCAAATGCAAGTTGGTGTCCAGGGTCTTCTGGGGAAGGTATGATGAGGGCTTGCGGACGAGGCGACCTTATCGCTCCTCAGGAATATTTCGACGATATACCAGACACGCCAGAGTTTGAACGCCACCAGCAATCTCAATGGAAGATACCCCTTTGGCGACACAGATACACTGGCCCCGTATCACCGCCCTCTACTGTCTCATCCTCCCAGTCAGCCGTGTCGAGTCTGATCACATCAGCTGTTGACTACTTTACAGAAGTATACACCGACAAGCACATCACCCATCAGACTGACAACTGTGACATCGCTGCAGAAGAACATAGCGATGCTGGTCCAGAACTTGAAGATGACCCAAGGCTGCGAAAGATGTTGGGTGGTATAGTGACCACGCCCTGCGAGGATGAATCAAGTGATAGTGACATGGAGAGAAACAAGAAAAGGAAGGGTATCAAAGAATCAGAGGCCACAGCTTGCGAGCTTGCAGAACGTTTCCGAGGTGAAACAGGAGACGGGATCGACCATTCAATGGCCAAAGTGACTTGGTGATACTACATATATGTTACAGAAGAACTGATGGTATGCGCGAAGCTGGCTTATCTAGATACTCTGCTCCTATGCGAGACTACCTAGGAAGCTTTGCTTCAGCAGCAGTTCTGTACATCCTGTAAATATAAGTCGACCGCAATCCCAGGACAGGATTGTCAAAGTCATTCTCCCTCTTCTCGTGTAGCTTGAAACCAACTTTCTCCAAGACATTCTGACTAGATGCCAGCTCGGTATCGGTATGTGCCTCTGCATAGTCGTATCTCGGCGCAAGCCTGTTCCTGATGATCCTGTCATCGCCTTCTACATGCTCATCCTTTGTATTTCCATTGTGTGCGGCTCGTCCGAGGACTTCCGGCATGTAATTTGCCAAGTCGCGTCCCGAGTAATGCTCAAAGAACAATGGCATAAATGCGCGCAACGCTTCGGTAGCATACCCATGGCCCCAGTACGAGGCATTGAACATGTAGCCGATCTCTGGGGCGCGGACTGCTCCGATCAGTCCGATGACATCGGGGCCTTCGTGTGGCGCTAGGAGGACGATTGCGAAGTTCCAGTTCCCTTCAACCTGGTGGCACTGCTGATGGTTAGTATATGTACAATTGTAATTGACGGGACGATATGCTTACACCTTGTATCCATGCTTTCGCACCCTCAAGATCATCCGAAGGGAGAATAGAAGTATGCATCATAACCTCCGGATGCTTCCGCATCAACAATATATCCTCTGCATCTTCGAGGCGCAACGGTCGCAACAGCAGCCGTTCGGTCCTCGCAAACAAATTCGGGTCAACCACCACCATCGTCTCCAGCGTGCGGAATGAGAATTGAAATTCGAGCCATTGTTAGTCGTGTGTTGTGCGCTGATTAAGACTCACATCGTGTCGTGTCGTGTGTCATCAAGCTGGAGCAAGGCCTGAGCTGTACCTCGCAGGAGAACAAACACGCTTAACCGTTCTCAGACACCGACAGCTCCCGTTCCACGACCACAGCTGTTCAAACACACCGCATCCACAACGTCACAACCAATCAAGATGCCGTCCTGAACTTAATTTACATCATTTCCAAAGCTTCCTCGTCATTTCCGGTCAGACCCAGGCTTTACCATGTCGAATTCAATACTTTCCGCTTCCGCGAAGGGAGCCACCTTTCTCATCCTACTGCAGGTGGCTTCTCGGGCGCTGACGTTTGCCGTCAACCAGGTTCTGTTGAGGTTCCTATCACCAGAGTTATTGGGCGTCTCAGCTCAACTTGAGCTCTTTTCCATCTCCGTGTTGTATTTTGCGCGCGAGAGTCTGCGTGTGGCTTTACAACGTCAGGCACAAGGAACGCAGGCAGTCGTCAACCTTTCATATTTGGCTGTCCTGTTCGGCACGCCTCTGGCGTATCTTCTCGCGCTACTATGGCTGCGATCCGATACGCCGCATGTTCCGTACTTTGTGGAAGCGTTGCTTGTGTATTGTCTGGCCACCTTCTTGGAATTGCTCAGCGAGCCGGCATTTTCGGCTGTACAGCAGAAGCTGCTCTACAAGGTTCGAGCATCGGCTGAGAGCTCTGCTACTTTGCTGCGCTGCATCGGTACATGTGGCTCAGCGATCTTGGCTAGTCGAGCTGGTCTAGACATCGGAGTCTTGCCATTCGCCATCGGACAGTTGGCGTACGCCTTGGCTTTGCTCATCATGTATTCGTACAAAACGTGGCCTGTTGCGAAGAACGATGGCTTTTCGCTGTTCCCGGAAAGAGTTCCATCAACTCAGGAGAGTCCGACTTTGATAAACTACTTCTCGGCTCCTCTTTTGCGACTGACTGCGTCTCTTAGTCTGCAATCGGCTCTGAAGTATGTTCTCACCCAGGGGGACTCTCTTCTTATAACAACATTGGCATCTCTCGCAGATCAAGGCGCCTATGCGCTTGCCTCGAACTATGGAGGTTTGATCGCACGCATGCTTTTCCAGCCCATCGAAGAAAGTAGCAGGAACATGTTTGCAAAACTATGCGCCAATGTAGGATCGTCGCCTGGAACAGAGAAGAAAGATCCGAAGAAGTTAAACGAACAAAAGGACAACCTTGCGCAAGCTTCTAGAGTCTTGAGTACCATACTTCGTCTTTATGGAATCATCTCCTTGTTTGCAGTCACACTGGGACCTGAACTGGCTCCTGTGCTCCTTTCCATCGTCGCAGGGCAAAAGTGGTCTGCGACCTCGGCTTCAAAGGTGCTGTCAACGTACTGCTACTACATACCTTTCCTCGCTATCAACGGAGTGACTGAGGCTTTTGTAGCCGCGGTGGCCACCAACAAAGAGCTATATGCACAGTCCGTTTCCATGGGCATCTTCTTTGCACTCTTCGCAGGCAGTGCATGGTTCTTTATCGGGAAGCTTGAGATGGGAGGCAACGGCGTGGTGCTTGCAAATACAGTCAACATGGGTCTGCGTATCGTCTGGAATACCTGGTTCATCAGGAGGTTCTTTTCGAGAAACGGCTCCGAGTTCAATGTACTTGAGACGCTGCCATCCCTTACCGCAGTGGCACCCGCTGCCATCATACCTACATTGATGCGAACAAAACCTGCGATTGGATTTGTTGGAAGGTTCGGCGTCCTTGGAGACCTAATTAGCATGGGTGCAGTGGCCGGTATCTACGTTCTGCATGTTCTTTTCTTCGAGCGGCAGTTTCTTGTTGACTGCTATGGTATGCTTCGGCCATCGCGTTCTGCTCAGCAATCGAAGAAACCGAATTGAACGAACATGCTAAGAGTCGAGTGCTTTGTAGGGCTCATAGAAGGGCAACACTCGCTTTTAGTTTGAATGATACCTACTACAGGCTTTCAGCCCTTCCCAGCTAGCCGTACGCCCTTCTGCCATGCACAACAGGTAGTCAATCCCATCTCCTCCGTGTTGTATCTGTACTTTCAGTTGTGATTGGTTCAATCAGGTTTGTTGCTGACAACAGCCTTTTTGGCGTTCGCTCGATATCTACCAAGTTTCCCTTCCCCCAAACTGACCGCGATTCGCGAATCACTACAGCAGCGATACCTTCCACCACGTTGCTTAGCGACTACAGAGCAGGACCGATCTCGCGATCTATTCCTTCACAGACACTTCCGCCTTCGTCACGGCCGCGGGCGTTGAAGGTTCCTTCCCAGGTTCATGGTCATCACCTTATATGATTGGTCGGGCTGCTAGTGCCGAAGTTTTCCTTCGTGCAAGCAGTGGGACACCCCGCTACGTCACCACGAACACAGGAAGTTTACCCCAGAAAACACTGCGCATCACCGGACACTGTCGCTACAACCTCTCAAGTAATCTGGGGGTAATAGAAACTACGTTCCGAAACCTGGGGGTAATCAATATCACTCTTGCATAAAGCGGGAACACCAAAAACGCCGCTACGAGTTTCCTGGGGGTAAGAGAAACTAAGCCTCGAACTGGAACCCCATCAATCACGCCATCGAAATTCTACGGCTCGCACCGTCTCTTCCGCTTACTTCTTGGCTGACATCTGGAGCACCAATAGCAAATCTGGGGAACCTGCGCTACCAAAATGGTCACGACAGACGAGTCAAGACACCTCCATGGGTTGGTTGACATGGGCAGTAATGGCATCCGCTTCTCAATCACCGAACTAACGCCAGGGACACAAAGAATTTTGCCGACTGTGTATCTGGATCGGGCAGCTATTTCATTGTATGACGCTCAATACGAAAATGGCCAAGTCGTGCCGATTCCAGACGCTACGATCAAGCAAGTGGTCAAATCTCTGTTGCGTTTCAAAGCGACGTGTGAAGACTTCGGCGTACCTGAGAAGCAGATTCGCATTGTAGCTACGGAAGCTACCAGAAAAGCTAGCAATTCTGAGGACTTTCAAAATACGATCAAGGATGCTACTGGCTGGACCGTTCAACTTTTGTCGAAAGAGATGGAAGGCCGGGTCGGAGCGTTCGGTGTAGCAAGCTCATATCATAGGCCAACGGGGCTCATGATGGACCTAGGTGGAGGCTCTACGCAGATCAACTGGATGTCTAGTCGGGTCGGTTACGATGAAATTGAAATGTGCGAGAAAGGAAGTGCAAGCCTCCCGTACGGTGCTGCTGCCCTCATCAAGAGGCTTGAAGAAGCAGGCTCTCCCGACAGCGATGCTTTCAAGACGTTCGAAAGTCAAGTTCTCATGGACCTCAAAGCTGCAGTTCAAGACATAAAGATACCACAGCATCTGCTTGATCGTTCACATTCACCCGAAGGCCTTTCACTCTATCTGTCTGGTGGTGGCTTTCGTGGCTGGGGCTTCGTACTCATGTCGGAGCATGCAATTCAACCATATCCCATACCTATCATTAACGGGTTCCGTACCACCAAGGATGCATTCCATGATACGCTGGCTATACAAGCTGCCGTTCAAAAAGAGGATACTCCTGAAATCTTCCGTGTATCGGCTCGCAGAGCAAGTCAGGTTCCAGCAGTAGCTTTCCTGGTGAATTGCTTGTCTAAAGCACTACCGAGTATCAAGGACGTATACTTCTGTCAAGGAGGTGTAAGAGAAGGCATGTATTTCGCGGAGATGGACCCAGCAAACTGGTCGGACTGGCCCTTAGTGGCTGCCACAAGATCGTATGCCAAGCCGTCGAGCCATGAGTTTGTGGAAGTTTTGCAAAGAGCCAGTATGTCTATGCCAACACCGTCGCACCAAGAATTGTTCAGCATCGGTATGACGAGAGCATTCGCCTATACTATGTTTGCACACATGGCTCAAGTCAAGGATCTGCGAGCTGGATCTGCGCTTCGAAGCACTACCACCGGATTGTTTTCCGCCGCACATGGTTTGAGTCACGAAGACCGCGCGATACTTGCCATCTTTCTCTGCGAGCGCTATGGCGGTTACAATTCAATAAGTCCTACGGAGCAGGACTTCTACCGCCGAATGCTGCAACTCGTGCCAGAACACTTGCAATGGTGGTGCATGTATACTGGTCGCGTTGCTGCAGTTTTGGCCAGCATATATCCTGCGGGTGTGGTTCGGGAGAAGAGAGTGGAACTGACTTCTCAATGGACGACGACAAAGAAAGGAAACGAGAAGTTGTGCGTAGACTTCAAGTTTAGTAAGGAACCGGATGAACTTGACGAAGGGCTCAATGCAGCACTGAGAAAGGTGGAAAAGGCGGGAAAGAAGAAGAACTGGATAGGAGGACACGGATACAAAGTGCTTTTGACGATCAATGGCAAGGAATACAGTGAGGATGATTAAGGGGCAGCCTTTGTGCTTTCGGCTCTCCGACAGAGTCGTGATGGCATAGTCTAGATTCTAGCTTCGCACGAGAATAGAACCTTAATTGTTCAGCACAGTGGCGAAGATCGTGAAATCCAGGCCTTTGTAATCGCCGGTGGCACAGCAGCTGACACGGGGAAGCATCGTGACACGGTGGGCGGTGTATAATGACGGCTTCACTGGTCGTGCAATGGCCATGGCTCGGAAGCGACGGGGCATCGTGACCTGCGGCGGGCTGGATGACTCCCCGCCTCATCACCGACCAGCAGCAAATATGGTGCAATGGATCCTGTAATGACCGGACGGGGACCACGTGCAGCACGCAATCCAGTACCAAGGGGCCACGTACAGTCATGGAAACCGTTTGGAGACTCCGCCAAGGATCGTGAGTTCTGCAGGACGCGTAGTGGGGAGTATGGTATTGAGACACTACTGCAACAGCTGCAGCTCATGCAGGCAAGGCTAGGCTTTCTCGGCATCACTGGGGAAAACTCTGATGCGGCTTTTTTGCAGGTCATGTTCTTTCGAGTACTGAAGCACC